TTTGTACTGGTCAAGGACCGAATAAATTGAATTGAATTGAATACACACACAAACACACACAAAAAATCCAAAACACTTCTGGTCCCAAGCATCTTGCATAAGGGACTCTCAGCCTGTACTTATTTTTCATGCTAGAGTACTGTGCTATGTGAACACATACTGGACCTACTAAACTCCTGCTGCAGTGGCTGATGGGCTACGTTGTATCCCTTGTGGGCTAAATGGCAATAGAGTGCAATTGTATTTGAATTGTAGAATCACAGAGTTGGAAGAGACCACAAGGACCATCCAGTCCAACCTCCTGCCATGCAGGAAAACAGTTTTAAAATTTCTGGTTTGTGACCATAGGCTGAAAATTCTGACAAAATTTTAAATACATAGAATCATGGGCCTGTAATGCAACTATAAGGAATCTCCTGACCTAATTTTCAACGTATTGGTATTTACTTCTACTATATAATAAGAGATAAGACATATCCACAGGATGCAATACAGATCCCTTGAAACTGATGGGACTCCCTCCCCACCACCACCACACATACACTGATGGTGTTTGAATTCCATTCATAGTCTTTATTGCAGACCATTTTGGTAAATGATAACAGTGCTTCTACAAATATAAATGAAGTTGTAAGTGGTAGCTGAGGAAATTAGAAAGGTTTCACCACTTTGAAGCAAAAAATGATTGTTTCTCCTGGTTCCTAGTGGCTTAACGGTACACCAGCTCCCAGACAGTTCTCAAAATGAAATACATCTGGGTATGTGAACTGCTCAGGTACCAGAGCTCCAGCCGTTGGCATTTTGTGATGCTTAGGTAATAACCAAATAACTGGATTTCTGTCTGGGGGCAAAACAAGGAATGAAAAGGGGTGGGGAAGGAGAAAGGAATTACTGCACAGAAAGAGGAGTGGGAGGTGGGAATAGTGGACACAAAACCCAAGTGCAATTTGAGACATTGACATAATTGGTGATAAATTGTGTCTTTATAAAAGGAGGCCCATAGAACTGAAAAAATTTTATAGTAAGTGCAGTGCAGTTCTTTCAGGAGTTCACTTAGCTTTACATGGAGTGACTATGGCATGAATGCTAGGATAAAAATACACCACTTATATTGGGAGGGAGAGAGAGAGAGAGAATGAAAGAAAGAGTACACATGAGAATTATGGATGGATGGTATTTATATTCCTTTCATTGCAGACCCATCTTTGGTACAAGAGCTAGATTCAACATATTGCCAAAAATGGAATAATAATTCACTGTTGAGCAGTGAGTTTACAGTATGCTCCCTGTACACAGCATTTATTTGGCAAAGCCCCCTGCAGTCTTTTGCCTTTCATGGCAACTGGCTTCTATCAGTACTGACATCTTCCAGATGTTAGTAGCTTTGATTCTGTCCCCCTCCATTTCCCCCTCCCTCTCTTTTCCCATGCTGCAAATGAGTTGGCATGGAAACAACTCTTTTCTGGCAACATGACATACAATTCAAGCAAAATGCATTTAGCACAGATGAATAGTTCAAGAATATGCCTCTAACAAAAGTCATTCTGAAAGCCCTGCTTTGCATTTGTTGGTGTTCATGACAACCTTCCAAACAGAAGTTTAGAAATCAAATATATTTCAAGGACACATGTTTTGAGCCTTTCAATGTTGTTTTTTGGAGGATCCCTAAATCTATTAATTTAATCAATAATGGGATATAAAGCAACATAATATGAAGCCTGAATATGAACAGTTAATAGCAGCCCACGCAAAGAGGCTTCTATGAAAGGAGAACCTTGATTATATTAAGTCCCTTATCTATGGATTTGACTTACAACCAAATAAAAAGTAGTATATTTCATAGAATCATAGAGCTGGAAGAGACCTTAAGGTTTGTCCAGTCCAACCCCTTGTCACGCAGGAATATACACTCAAAGCACTTCCAACAGTTGGCTATCCAGTCTCTGTTTAAAAAATCTCCAAAGAAGACCACCATGCTCCAGGACAGTGTATTTCACTGTGAAGCAGTTCTTACCATCAGGAAGCCCTTCCTAATGTTTAGGTGGGATCTCTTTTCCTGTGATTGATTCCATTGTTCTGTGTCCTAGTCTCCAGAGCAGCAGAAAACAAGCTTTCTCCATCCTCAACATGGCACCCCTTCAAATGTTTAAACATGGCTATCATATCACCTCTTAACCTCCTCTTCTTTAGGCTACATATACTCAGCTCCTCAAGCCACTCTCACAGGGCATAATTTCCAGACCTCCTGCCATTTTAGTTATCCTCCTCTGGACATGTTCCATCTTGTCAATATCCTTCTTGTATTGTGGTACCCAGAATTGGACATAGTATTCCAGGTGAAGCCTGACCAAAGCAGAAAACAGTGGTACTATCACTTCCTTTGATCTAGACACTATACTGCCATTGATGCAACCTAGAATTGCATTGGTAAAATATTTACACATTTTCAAATAGCAATATAGTCTAGGCAAAGATCTCACTATGTATTCAAGAAAATGATTTTCTGGTTTCTGAGAAATGGAGAATCAAATGAACCAAAGTGTGTGATAGATTCTCTAACTATATTCCACTAGTATTTGAATCACATTCTCTCAGATGACTTTCATTATGGTCTTTTCCTCAGCATCCAACCATACATGGAATGCAGCAGGCTGCCTGAAGACCACAGGCAAAAAGTACTTCCCCCTTTGGAATATAAAAAATGACAGATGAGTTTATGGACATGTTTGGAATTATGAATGAGATGATTTGGAACATGGATTACATAACATGAGGCACCAATTTCCAAATGTTTACTTCATTTGTCACATCCCACTGGAATCTGGGGGATGCTCCTGAAGCTTAGCAGGAGACCTTGGAGATATACTCTGCACCTGGTGAAGGATGAAGTAGATAGCACAAGACTTGGATAGTGACCTAAAGCAGATATGTATTGGGTACTACATTTTGCATTCTCTTAAGTGCCTAGGACTGGACATCATTGTGATCCCTTGTTGAGGTCATATGGAGGCTGCTACCCCAAAAATGATGGAGTCTTTTCAGAGAAAATTCAACAAAGGGGCCTTCTTTTTTCTAGTGCAGAAAAAAACCCTAAGAATGTTGTTCTTCACAAAGTATCTTCTGGGGAAAAAATCAGCTTAACAGAAATGTAAAATTTCAGTATCATTTTTTTCTAGTACTAAGAGAGTTTTAAGAGTCAGTGTGGTATAGTGGTTTGAGCACTGGACTATGACTCTGGAGACCAGAGTTCAAGTTCCTGCTCAGCCTGGAAACCCATTGGGTGATACTCGGCAAGTCATACACTCTCAACCTCAGAGGAGAAATACAGAGAAATACCTTCACAGTTTTTATTAGGAAGCGAGTCAGGCCTGGTGCCAGCCCAAACTCTTCTGAGGCAGAGGGAGATATGCTGTCACCACAACTACTACCTGTTGTGCCATAGCTTCTGCACTATCTGCACAGAGGCACTTCTTTCTACAGTTCCTGCTGGGTTCATATGTGTGACTGACACAACACAGATGCTCTCTTAGGGCTCTGAGGACCCTTTCCTGGGTTCAAGTTGAGTTGGGAGAAGTGCTCACCAGACATTTGGCCCAGAAAAGTTCTCCAGAGTGGTGAGGGCCTTCCTGATAAGGGGAGAGTAGTGTGGCTTGGAACTCCTCAAACTCCAACTGATCTGGGCACCTTGCCCTGCCTAAAACAAAAGCTATCCCTGGTTAGATCCAAATGTTTTTATTTAGAGAGTTATAGAAATATTCATGGCAAGAATATCTACAGTTGAATTAGCTGAATGCTGTGACCTTTCTAGCTTAAGGACATGTGTTTTTATGACACTGTCAGAGTACCTACCACCTCCTTCTGCCACAGCATCCTTAGCATGTCATTGGCCTACTGTAGTATTATATATAATGCTATATACTGTGTTTTCCCGAAAATAAGACATACCCATAAAATAAGTTGTAGCAGGATTTGTAAGCATTTGTGCAATATAAGCCATACCCGCAAAATAAGACATAGGGCCCACACAGACAGTGTGGCTTTTCTGGGCTGCCCCTGGGAGCAGTGGATCGGGGCCTTTGAGCTGCCGCCATGGCTCTTTTCTGGGCTGCCCCCAGGAGTGGCGGATCCACCATTCCTGGGGCAGTCCAGAAAAGAGGCGCTGCTGTGGCTCAAAGGGTCACAGCCCCAATTTCCTTTTTGCCACCCCCAAAAGAACAGCCCCATTCCTTTTGGGGGTGGAAAAAAGCTGGCCTTTGAGCTGCCATCACGGCTCTTTTCCCAGCTGCCCCTGGGAACGGAGGATTGGGGCTGTAGCAAACACACGCAGCGCCCTTGATCCTCCTTTTTGCCACACAAAAGAGTGGCAAAATGCTGCTCCTTTTGGGGGTGGCAAAAAGCCGCCCTTTGAGCCACTGCCATAGTTCTTTTGCACCCTTTTGGTACAACGTGTATGCACGCTGCACGAAGAGGGTGCCCTGACGCCGCGCGCCCTGTAGATGGGTACACGGCATCAGGGTGGAGTCAGGACAAATAAGTCATCCCCTGAAAATAAGCCATACTGTGTCTTCTTGGTGAGAAATAAATATGACAGTGTCTTATTTTTGGGGAAACACTATAATGCTCTCTCTGTGTGCTCAATATTTATCTGAATTTCTATCTTAGTAATTCAGACTATTTTACCTAAGATGTACAAGTGAATGTCAAGGATATGGTGAATGTATTTTGAAGCCTCTCTTGGCTTATATTATATGGAACATCCCAGTTGCAAGTAATCTTAACAGGCTCCATTAATTTTACTGATATCTGAGTGCAATGTGTTTTCTTACCCTGGTGAACACATTTTGATGATAAATTGCCCTTTGGAAGGAAGCTCAAGTAGGATTTTGTGTGCATGCATGTGCCATTTGTGCTATCTATTTTGATTACGCTGATGTTAATGTGCTGCTGCATCTTGTTGCTGTTTGGATTTCCTTGGACAGCACAAAACAAATACCCACACAGAAAGTAAAATTGTTTGCTGAGCATTGATACTCACTTGTTCAATATACTGCTTGCCTAAAAATGTGTTTTCTATATTTGGAATAGTATGATTGAGAGTTCACTCTTGGTTTGTGCAGATGACAGTATAGACATGGATACATTTCATAACAGTGTTGTGGGGGAATCTAAACAGGTCAAAGTTATAGTTTCTATGACTGACAGTAAATTCTCTATCCTCATGATGTGCACAAATATCCTATGTCATTGTAAGCATTGCTATAGTCTTGTACTATCACATCACCCTTTCCTTTGCACTAGAAAAGCAAAAATGTAAAGTTGTTCTTACTGCAGATGCTTCTTTAGGGTGTATGTTTTGCCATCCCCTGATTCCTGCTACTTTTGTAACCCCTCCACTGCATATTGGCAACTACTAGTCTTATTACCAAAGTCTTCCCTACCCTCATTCTCATGGTCACATTTTCTATCCAACTTGACCACAGGGAATGTGTGGCTGTGTGTAACTTTCCAATGCATCTGAGGAAGTAGGCTCAAGTCTATGAAAGCTCATGCTACCAGCACTATCTTTCAGTTAGTCTCAAAGCCACTGCAAGATCCCTTTGCATACTGGTCTTCCATATCATGTGAGCTGTCATGCAGAAGCAAAGGAGAAGCACCCCTTGGTTCTTCCCATAATGACCTCCCCTCTTTGTCCATTCAGGTCTTCTATCTCCCCTGCTTCTTCTCCCACTTTCTCCCTTTCTGCCGATGAAGACCTCCACCACCCCCATCCCCTCAGGCTGCCCTGCCCTGCCCTGCCCTGCCTCCTGATGCTGGGTTGGGAGTGCAGCACTGTGGGTATGCAGAGGGGACTGCATCCACAAACACACTCTCTGGGGAGCTAAAGAAAGAACCATTTGGGGGAGGAGGGAGGAGGAATCCATTGTAGTAGGAGGGAAGTCACACTCTCTCAATAGACTGGACCCGCATGCATATCCCAGAATGTTGCATTCCAACTGCTGCCATCTTATCTTGGATTAGCAGGATAGGGTAGACTGGAGGTTAGCAGCATCCCATGTGGTGGGGTTTACTCTTGGTCCTGCTCAGATAGAAGAAGCTTCCACTCCTTCAGGAAGGCCAGCCAATGGAGTGCCCTCCTCTCAAAACCACATGTGCTTATGGCACCTGCACCTGTCCCCGAAGCTGACTGTTTTTGGCTACTAAAAGTTCCATGTTCCCCTGCCCATCTTATGTTCCACAGCTTTGCCTGACTCTCTAAAGTGCTCAACTCCTCTGCTGTCTGTCGCCACCTCATACTGTTCTGTCATCCTGAAATGTAATGAAAAGTCACTAGATTATTTCTTATATGCTATTGCCAGAGATTCTTCACAATACATGACAAGAAATGCAGTGTTAATTGTGCCATGAAAGCTTATGTGGCCTTTTTCACATTTGGGAATGTGAGATATGTGTACATCTGTGTTAGAAAGAGGCACATATATGTCTAAGTAAGAAGATTTGCTGATGTGTGAGTTGTCTCCTCTTCAAACCATACATGGAGCTTCTGCCTCTCCTCTTTGCCACATCCTCCAGAGAGAGCCAATCCACCTCCCTCCCACTGAGGAGCAAGAAGCAAAGACTATGGAAGTACATTCTACCACTGCTAAGGGATTTCCCCAAGGGAGACATGAAGTGAAGGCACATTTAACAAAGATGGAATTGGCAATGTTTTGGGACAGGGAATGAGGTAGGCAGCACTGATAGTGGCACCCTGATAGGGTCATCACACAGAATTTCTCTCATCCCAACAATTACCTCTTTCAGAGAACTATAACAATTGAAGAAGTGTATGAAAGATTAAGGGCCATCCATCATAGGAACAATGGGAACTTTCATAATAATTACTATGAATTGCTACAATGGTTTAATAAGAATCAGTA